GTCTTTTGAATGAGAAGTGTCATGCAGACAAATCACATAGGCAAAAAACAAATTAGCACAGGGTGGCACGAGGCAATCAATGAGTGGTTCTGACAGAAGTGCAGTCTGGTACTGTCACAGACATTTTTTCCTAGAAATCCTTTCTTTGGGATTTGTGCATCTTCTGGGAAGCTGAGGCCCCAGAAAGAGAATGTAAACAATGATTATCAGCTGCTGTGAAATGCAATAGGATGCACCTGTGATTGGTTCATGTTCCATGTGTACAATTAAGGGCCAATCACAGGAGCAAGCTCAGGGAAAGCTTCCCTGGACACAGAACTTTGTTATTTATTCTTTTCTATTCTTTTCTTAGCTTAGCAAGCCTCTGCAACTTCTCTCCTTATTCTTTTTAGTATAGTTATAATGTATTATATATCATATATCAATAAATCCAGCCTTCTGATCATCAAACAAGATTCTCATCCTTCTCTCACCCTGGAGACCTTAATCAGGTCGCTGTAATATGGTACAACACACATTTCACACCTTTCTGTGCTTATCAGCCTGTCAGTTTGTGACCAAAGTGTTGCGGTGTGTTGTAATGTCCTGTTTTAGACTTCCAGGTCACCTCCCAGGTGTGCCTGTACCTCTCTCCCTTCCCCCTCGCCCCCTTGCTGAGTGAGTCCTGTCAATCAGGCTTAACATTCCAGGAAGGTCGTGGTGCGGTTGGTCAAGTTCAAAAGATGCCCCTGTTCCCAGAGGTCATTGGCCCGTCTGGGTGTCATCCCCCCCTGAGACCCTGCCCCTCCCACCTGCTTGGTGGCTCACCTGCCCCTTCCCTCCTCCTCCCCCGGGAGCTTAAAAAGATAATCAGACTATATGCTCGTGACTCTGTTGGAGCTGTTGCCTAGATTCAGACCTCTGTGACCATGAAATAAAGTTCTGGATATAACCCTCCAGCAGAATCCGTCTCCTTTTCCTCCTCACCATAGCCTGAAGCCTTCCCTCCTGAGGTAAACGGAGTTCCTACCAAGCCTGGACTTGTTCAGTGCCCAGCTGCAATCTCCAGCCACCTAAAGGTATCTCTGGGGTGATACACCACAGTTGCTGCCTTTGGCCCAGCAGCGAGGGTCAGACTGGCCCAGGCACAATCTAACTGGTAATATTGGGATTCCTATTCCAATACCAAAGAATATGCAATCCTTCGGAAGCCAAAGGAGAATTATCCAAGATTTGATCTGTGTTAAAATTGCAAGTTTTTTCTACTGGGATTCTAGGCACAGAAGTAAAATATTTTTAGTCAGTTAATTAGTAGGAGGCTTATTTTTTTTTAAGCTAAGAATAATGAGAAATGCATTGTTTCCATATAATCAATTATTTACCAGAAGATTTTGGGCTTTTTCAAGCACTGTTGTATATTTATAAATGCATCAGTTTAATAAATAATTGTCAAAGGAACAGAACAGTGCTTGTAATTTATTTATTATCATCATGTACAGGCTACTAAAAATTTAGAGCAGAGATTAATTTGTTATTGCAGATTATGTAAGGGTATGACCTGTGTCCTGTTGTTACAAATATCAGCACCCCATAGACTTCAGTGGTAGCAGAAGTGCATTTGGAGGTTGCTGATAAGAATTTGGAAATATCATCATTAAAATCTGAAAGCAGTCATGCAGGACAAATCAAGGAGTGTGTGTATGTACATAATTTGATGAGCAAGGAAGCAGGGAAGTTGCTCAAATCTGTGACTTAGGAGTGTCAGTTAGGGAAAAAGAACCCCTTTTGTTTGACAAAGCATTTTTATCCCTTTTTGGTTAAGAAGACTTACACAGCCTCTCTTTCCAGTTCTGGACAAAACATTTTTACATGGCTGGTGATTTCACCATGTGGGCAGTCAGGGCAGCCCCACACGGCTCTGCTTTGTGGCTGCATCAAAAGCTGGAGCAGTGGGTGCAGGATGAGGCAGAACATGAGGTGCTGCCCTGAAGAGTAAACACTTTTCACAACCTGCCAATTATTTGTGGCCCAGGGAAGCAGAGAAGTCATTTCAGTAATTTCAACGGGTTTGAGATGAGGTCACCTTTTGTAACTCAACCCTTTTAACTCCAAATACAATTTAATTCAAGTCAAGGAGTGGGGAAATGCAGTTACCAGTGATTTGCCCTACAATCTGTGTCATGTCTCGGCTCTTATTGTTTCAGCTAAGAGGATGGATAATGCTCAAAGAAAATGAAAGTTTCTGTAAATCCTACTTTTATCTTCTCCATGTAGGTAAGTACTAACAAGAAAAGTTACCTGTAAAATGATCTGCTTTGTGCCTTTGTTTGCCTGCAAAAAATCCAGCTAAACCTGCACTAGATGCAATGGCACCCTTCCATTGCCTACAGCTTCAAAATTTGTTTATGTTCTGTGGAATAACCATTCAGATGTTGTTCATTTTTAATGCTGTTTGATTACTTGTAATGAGCAATCGTAGCAATAAAACAAGGATATATGAAAAAACTAATGTCCATGCTAACCACAAAGTCAGGCTATATCTGCACTATTTAGGTGAGAGCTTATTCCCATTTATTTGTTCCTGACACACTTGGATGCTTTTTACAATGAGCAGCACAACACTGCAGTCCAGGATGACAGACTGGCCTCCAGGTTTGGCCCTTTTCTCTGACAGGAATGAAATCTGCAGGAACACATCTGGCTTGTGCTAATAGAAGAGCTCCCAAATGAGGGTGCTGTTACCAGCCCAAAGTGGAGGGGGAAGAGGGAAAAGAAAGAAGCACAGGGAAGGATTTGCGAACAGAGGACATGAAGGTGGCTTCAGGCTGTACCTGGTGTAGTTAAGGGAAAGTGCTGGGAAAATTGATTTCAAGAGAAGCCTGTCTGTGTGATACAGAGCATAAGCTCAGCAGGATCATGATGGGAATAAAAGACCAACTTTTCAGCCAAGAAGGCAGGCCTAAGGAAATGTGAAAGAGGCTGTCAGTATCTGAGTCAGTCTAATGAGCATTTGCTTTCCAGAACACGACTTAGAAGGTCTGTCAGAGACAGACCCCAATGGCATTAATCTCGAGAGGAAAACAGCAATGCTGCACCCAAGGAAACTGACATCTCCTCTCAGCATGGGATAATAAAGTCAGTCTTTGCCATGGACCTACACCCAGAGAGAGTGAGGGTTGTCAGCACGTGGAGGACTGAAGCAGCACAGGTTAGTGCAGGCATTGGAACTTCTCTCCATTGATTTCCACTTGACAGAATTTCTTTTTTTTTTTTTCGAAGATGACACAAAATACCTTTGGTATTGTTGAGCATATTTGTTTTGCTGAAAATGAATTGGTGGTGAAATCTTTCTTCTCCAATTTTCCTTGGCAACCCAGAAACTCTATAAAAAACAGCTTTGGCTAGACTTTTCTTCATTCTTTTCTAGAGGTTCACTTGTACAGGAAAATTATGTACCCAGGCCATGGAGCATCTGTTTAATACAAAATGTAATTTTGCAGCACTCTCCTTGGTGATGTGGCTTCCCTATGAAACATCTATTTCTGTGAGGGTGGGAAGTGTTGCCAGACAGGCTCTCGTATTGTTATTGCCTTCTCTGAGTACTTTTTGGTAATTTCTTATGTGACTGATTAAAGCAAATTGTTGCTATTCAATGTACTATCTTACAAAGGGGATATTACCTGTGATAGTGAGAAAGCTGTACTGGGCAATTTAAATTAGGCTGGAACAGAAATCAATGCCTATTTTCAACTTGGTCCCTCTGTTAGCCATTAGCCATTATTATTATTCATATTTAAACTGCAGAGGCTTTTAATTTTTTTTTTTTAAGTCACTTAGCTGGATGCACCTTACTAGCCTTTATGGTCTTACCTGCATTGCTTTGCCAGCCAGGTTGTGTGGGATGGAATCCGGTCACATCTCCCTTGGCGAGAGTGGTTGTACTGCTGGGAAAGGGGTCTTCAGGAGCCTCCTGTCCTCTCAGTGAAGTGTAGAGAACTTTTCTGTTTGAGATTTGGGGAGTTGTTTCAGTGTTTTGGGAGTGGCATTGGCACAAAGGGGGCTGGCAGGGCATATAAAATCCCTACGCTTGTCTTGTTTGGGATGGGCATGAATCAGCACCAGCGGGACCTGCTGTGGGTGGCATGAGCCTCCCCTCACACAAGAGGCCATGTTCCCCACAGCATCATCTCTTTCCTTTCCCGCTCAGCCTGATCCGAGCGTGCGGAGAGGCTGATATGGTAGTGCCAGCACCCACCTTGAGCATTGTGAGCCCGGGCTGGGGAGACACCAGTGAATGGGATGCAATGCTGTGACGGGGTCCCAGCGCTGTGAGGGGGCAGCTCTGAGGGGGTCCCAGCGCTGTGAGGGGGGGTTGTGAAGGAGTCCCAGCGCTGTGAGGGGTTGTGAGACAGTGGCGCTGCTGTGAGTGCAGTCCCAGCACTGTGAGGGCTTGTGAGAGAGCGGCGCTGCTGTGAGGGCTTGTGAGAGAGCGGCGCTGCTGTGAGGGCAGTCCCAGCGCTGTGAGGGTTTATGAGAGAGCGGCGCTGCTGTGAGGGCAGTCCCAGCGCTGTGAGGGTTTATGAGAGAGCGGCGCTGCTGTGAGGGCAGTCCCAGCGCTGTGAGGGTTTATAAGAGAGCAGCGCTGCTGTGAGGGCAGTCCCAGCGCTGAGGGCTTGTGAGAGAGCGGCGCTGCTGTGAGGGGCGGCGATCTGAGGGCCTCCCCGCGCGCTCCCCGCTCACGGCAGCCGCCTCGCGCCCGTCCCGCTGCACAGCGCTGGGGCCGGGGCGAGCGCGCACCCCGCGCTGATTGGCTGCCGCTCCCGCCGCGGCCGCGGGCGGCGCCGCCGCTCCAAGTTTGTGTCCGGGCGGAGCCGCCGCCGCCCGCGGGCTGCTCCCGGTGCGCTCCCGGCCCTGCGCGCTCCCTTCGCCGCCGCCACAGGGGCAGTGGTCCGGCCATGGCGGGGCCCGGGCGGCGGCGCTGAGACGGCGGAGGGTGGGGTGTCGGTCCCAGAGCGGGCGCCATGCGGTCCCTGAACATCACCCCGGAGCAGTTCGCGCAGCTCCTGCGGGACAACAATGTGACGCGGGAGCAGTTCATTGCTCTCTACGGGCTGCAGCCGCTGGTGTACATCCCGGAGCTGCCGGGGCGCACCAAGATAGCCTTCGTCCTCATCTGCGTTGTCATCTTCGCCCTGGCGCTCTTCGGCAACTGCTTGGTGCTCTACGTGGTGACCCGCAGCAAAGCCATGAGGACCGTCACCAACATCTTCATCTGCTCCCTGGCGCTCAGCGACCTCTTCATCGCCTTCTTCTGCGTGCCCTTCACCATGCTGCAGAACATCTCCTCCAACTGGCTGGGCGGTGAGTGCCGGGGCCGGGCCGGCCGCTCCCGGGCTGGGCTGCGGGGCGGGAGCCGAGACCGGCGTTCCCCATTCCCCCGTCTCTGAGGGACCCTTCCTGCCCTCAGTGAGGAGTGAGGGACCCTTCCTGCCCTCAGTGAGGAGTGAGGGACCTTTTCTGCCCTCAGTGAGGAGTGAGGGACCCTTCCCCTTCCCGCTCCCTGTGAGGGGTGCCCTCTCCATCCCTCCCTCAGGTTATGTTCAAATAACCCAGTGCCCTTTCCGTCTTGTATTCCTTCAAAGTTGCGGTGTGGGTGTGGGAAGCGGCTCGTGGGGAGTCTTGCCGTACTACCTTCTCTCTTTTTTTTTTTTTCTCCTTCATTTTATTGCTAAGTAATGAAATCTGTGGCAAGTGAGGTGTCAATCTTTATGCAGCTTAAGTTCCTCTGGCAGCTGTCAGCTCGGGGACAGTCCTCCTTAACATTTTGTGAGGAAAAAGAATGTCCTTGAAGGAACACATGACTGAGAGAACGTGTAGAATTTTTGCAGAAATAATGCATCTTTAAAATTTTTTAAAATTCTTTTTTATTCTTGGGAGCTCTGTTGTATCCTGTTGATGTGAAGAACCTTTTGGCAAAGCTTCCTTGATACCTGGAAAGAAGGATTTTTTTTCCTTTTCTATGCATCCCAGTTCCAAAGCAGTAAAGAGCAAGCAGAGAAAGATGCAGTAGAATTGCATATGGTATTTATTTTTTTGGTTTTCTTTTCTTTAAACAGTGTTTGACAATTATAAGTGGAAAAATAAAAGGGGTGGTTTTGCAGCAAGTAGCAGGCAGCATCTTGTACAACCACAAATTGAAATATTTTTTTCACAATATTTTGGAGTGATCGCTAAAGATGTTGATCAAGTGACACGTTGATGCTTCAATTTCCAAGGCTTACTGTGTTTCTGTTGTTTGGAGACAACAGTGAATATTGTCATAACATGGAGATTTAATTCCAGAGCTTCCCACAGACTAGAATGCTGGGTGGGAATTGACAGGTCAGAGAAGACTTGGAGCACATGTGAGAAATGGGCTTTATTACAGAAACTTCAATGAGAAGTGATCAATCCAAAGCTCCTGGGACTACTGATAGTAAGGACAACCGGGCTTTTTTTCTTATGAGCTGTTTTGGGGAAGATAAGCTTTGTGATTCTTCTCTCTCCTAAGGAAAAGTCGGACTTGTCAGCTTGACCAAATATCTGATGAGAATCAACTGAAGTCTCTGTGTGGGGTGAATTAGAGGAGATAGGGCATGGGCAGGTGGAACAGGTGGAAAAATATGTATGTCTTTATTTACACTCTGTTACTGAGGGTGCCTGACCAAAATCTAGAAGCAATGAATGTAAAAGCTCTAGCATAGTTACAGCAAATCTCTTCAGATATTCAGCATTTGGGCAGCTCAAGTACACTGTTCTCTGGGGATTACTGTGGTTTTTGCCTGCTCTCTTTGCTGTGCTAGAGCATTTTCAGTGAACACGTAGGTCTTTTGATCTGGTGAAATCATTACCTTGAATTGACTCGGTGTTGGGAGGACAGAATAAGTAATAGCATGGATTGGTGATGGGGGGGTGTGAAGTATAAAACTGAGGAAAACAAATACATGAACTGATGGTATCCCAAGGGTATCTGGTTCCTGATGCTGACATGGTGAAGTGTGAGTGGTGATTAAAGTTGTACTGCGAATCAGAGCCTGCCAGTCCTGGAGGAGTCTTTACCTTGCTGGCTTAACTGGTTTAATGTGCCTTTTGCCTTTCATTTTGGAGCCTGAGAAAATCTTGTTCTCATCCACTGTAGTGCAACATCACTGAGTAGTGCAAGATCCAAGTCTGTTATGAAAAAGGTGATTGCACTTGTGATGCATCCTTGGTGGATGAAGTGGTGCATCCTGAGACACTTGATGCTAGAAATTGATCCGGGAATCTGAGCCTTTAGTCACTTTCTGACTTGATTTACTTGCATCACTAAAACAAGCGTCTGTACTAGGTGATGCGAACCGGGATGTGTATGTTTTGTACTTGTGCTCAGTTTAGAACAGGTTCTTTATTTCCGTGCTTGCGTATGTTTGTTGCTTCCCCTGCTGAAACCCACAGAAGCATGGGAGAGGGGAGGAGAGGACTGCCAACACTGTAATGCAAACAGAAGAACTGCCACAGTTTCAGAGTAGCTGAAGCTGTGACTTTTTCCATAGTATTTTCACTTACACACTTAACTTCACCTGCAGTTAACAATGTCAGTGTGCCTCACTTTCCTGATGATCAAGCAGCATTAGCACAGACCCTTTAACTCTTTTGGGTAACCATTGGAAGCAGCACCATACTGACTAAAAACAGATTTGAACTGGTCCTGCTTTTGATTCTCTCATGTCTCTAAGAATCTGTGTAGCTGTGTGAGTGTAATAGTGACAGCCTATGATTTAATTTCCCAGTTTAAACTTTGCAGCTGAAATTGCTGTAATTTCGTGGGAAGCTTTGAATGAAAATCCAGCATACTTTCTTATTAATTGTCATATGTCCAGTGCTGTGTTACCTCAGAACTTCCCGTTCGTGTGGGAACACTTAAAATTCCTTGCTGAGGGATGAGAACTAAATCTTGCATCTATACCAGGAACTGATGTACAACAATGCATTGCCCAGGTGTGCAACACCCCCCCCTTAGGGGTATCATCTGTGTGATGCTGACTGCCCCAAGTTACAAAATGTGAGAGAAATCAACTCCCCTCTTCAGGTGAGGTAGAGAGAGCTCATTTCAAGCTTTGGCAGAAATTGTAGTGCAAGGGCAAGATCAACAGCATTTTACCAGAGGAAGGAGCAATTTAACACTTATCAGAGAATGCTTTCAGGCTTTTACTTTTGTAACCCTGATAAAAGAAGTGATATTTGAAATGACTAAATTACAGTTCCAGGCACAGTGTCCCTAATGAAGGCATAAAACGCTTACAGGAGAGTCATTTACATTTGCAGTCTCTGAACGTGTTATTGTTGGGAAAACTATTCACTGCTTGAATAATCAATGCACTTTTTAGCAAGCAGTGCATAAGGATTACTTTTAGCCTCTTGAAAAAGAGAAGCAATTAGTTATTTTCATTCCCAATGTTCTGCTGCAAATGATTTTCTTTCCCAGTTGAAGGTGTGGCCAGTTTTAGGTGCTGAAGTGCTGTCTTGACTGGCAGGCCCTTGGAAGTGTTCTCTGAAAGCCTAACAGCGTGGGAATTTAATTATGAAAATAAATCTAAAAATTAATTTAAAATAAAAAAATCATTTAATTTTTATACATACTTAAGGTATTAATTAAAGTGTTATCATTATTTAAATTATTCAGAAGAGTCAACACTTTTCTGTACTGCCACCAGTGCAGAAATTAACACAGTTCCAGTGATTTTTGAGGTGATCCCAGCACTTTAGCCTTTAACCCAGCACTGGGAAAACTTATGGAGTGAAATTTCAATAACCTTGACTGAACCTCACTGAAGTGGACTTTTATTCTTTGTGTTTGTCTGTTAGTCATATAGTCTGCAAGCCATGTTCCAAACAGCCGCATTTTTACCAGCTGGATTTTAACCGAGATTTAGGCTAGTGGAATCTTCTCTTACTCTGTGTTAAGTCTGAACATGAATGTGAAAATTTGCTTGAAATGGTTCTAATGTATGTGTTTGACACAGCTGGGTTTTTGCCTATCTCAGTCTTATTTTAATTTCACTGTGCTTACTATGATGTAATAGCATAATTAATTTTTTTCCTCAAATCTTACCATATCTTCCTTATAATAAAATTTGCCACTTTTTCCTCAGTTTTTTTTCCACAGTAGACTTTGAACTAACAGACGCTTGAGAATGGGACTGTATCAATTTATTCTTGCTGCAGGTGAAGCCTGTTTTACACAAATGGATTAAATATGAAGTGAAATGTGCATGCATTGTTCTGAAATAATTACCTTATTTCACAGTAAATTTCATTTTCCATCCGTAAAGGCCTGTTAATGTTTGTAATTTGAAAAAAAAAAGTAATTTCAAGTATTGAAAGATCTGGAGAAAGTCTCTAGTAATTATCTAGGCAGTTGGGAATGGCTGCTATAGATTTATAAATAAAACTGTGGGTTGAAAAGCGAAGAAGAGGCTTGATGTGAAGGACAGTCACTATTTTGCCAAGTATAAGGACTCAGGATTAAATCCCATTCAAAGGCAGTAAGGATGGTGGATGGATCTCAGGTGTGTTGATGTCAGAATTCCATTGAATTCTCACAGGTGGCCCTGACATCCTAAAGAGTTTATTTTTTTCTCTTTTACCCCTAAGCAAATCTGTTTTAAATACTTGTGTGAAGGAGGGGCTTCTTCCTTGCTCAAGAGTCTTAACCTTGATGGAGGTTTGAATTTCAAGGCACTTGAAGGTCTCATCATTTCAGATAATGGGAAGCATTTGTGTTGTGAGCTCCAATTCAGGGCAAGCACCAGAGCCCTGAAGGGATATTTTATTGTTAATAACAGTGACACCTAGAGACCCTGTGCATGGTGGCATTAGAAGCTTCAGGGGCGCTCCAGTTCTGTTCTGGTTTTACTTTTGATACATAGATGCTTTTTGACTAGCTGTTACCTATTATTCATTTGGAAAGCCATGGTTCTTGTTTATAAAAAAAACTTTGTGGCTGTTTTGCTGTGGCCTCCAAGTCCCCAGAATGTGTGCTGTGTGCCTCAGAGCAGGTGTTTGTATTCCAGCTAATGAAAAATATCCTTTTGCTTCCCATTTCTGCAAGTGCTAATGGCACCTGTCCAGCTCAGTAGGCTCAACCTGCAGGCATTATGTAGACTTTTAGCTACTTTTGTGTAGTTTAAGTGCTTACTTTTTGTGTGTTTGTCTTCAAAAAGATAAATTAGAGGTTTTTTTTGCAGCCTTTTCTCCTGGGAGTTCAGCTCAAGGCATAGTGAGTGGTGGTCTGTGCTCTTTGACAGTGTGGTTGCTGGGAAGAAAATGAGAAGACATCTGTAAAAACAAACAATGGGCATCTGGGAATTTGAGAGTTCTGTCCCAGTTTGGGGTGTTCCCTTTGTTCTTTAGTAGCTGGGTACCAGCTGGAAATTCCATCAGGCTGATGCTGAAAGTTAGTCTCATTTTGTTACTTGAGTAGTAGTGATACTGCTGTGCTTCCTAAGGATGCCCTGGGGTGTTGGGACTTCAGTGGAGGAGTGGTGCATTACAGGGCAATCCTGTAAGGCAGGTTTAGTTCAAGTGGGTTTGAGTCTGGCCTTTTTCAAACTGTAAGAAATAGCCTATGGTGAAAGTTTGAGGTTTTTTTTTTAGCTTTATTTTGTGTTTGTTTGCTTTTTTTTTCAGTTTTCCTCCAGCTTCAGCACTCAGACCTGAACTTATTTCCTTAGTGAAACAGAAACTTAAACATTTCATAAACAAGTTGGGCTCTTCTGTTTATTTGTAGCAGGAGTCCCTTCTAACTTAGTGATGCAGAAATGGAAAACCAGCTCTTTGGTCACATTGACCATTTGCTGTGTGCAGAGTAGGTAGGATTTGAGCTTGCTTTTGGTTTGATCTCACAACAGAAGTTGAAGCCCACTGGGTGAAGGATGTGAATTTGACAGAGTGTGTCTGGTGCTGTGTGTGCAGCACGTTCTGTACTGGGTGTAGTGAGAAGCTGATGAGGTGCTGAGTTCGTAAAATATCGTGTCTGTTTCATGAGACGTTTCCTTAGGCATTACTGATGCCCAGGAAGGAGCAGGGGGAATTTTATTCTATAAATTGCAGTTGATAGAAGATGTGAGGATGTCTTGTCTTGCTCTCCCTGATGCTCTGGAAAAATACATATTGGGTGTATGTTTTTATGCAGCCCAATGCATCCTCAGCCATGCAGTTCCTACTGGCTAAATGCTAAGATTTCATGCAAGGAACTTGAAAGGGCTGCATGATGTGTTTTTATTCTGGTTTAAGCCACATCTGTGTGCACATCCATCATGCTGCTGGTGTTGAATATGTGCTTGAAAGGTGCTTGGTTTCCACCCATTGCTGTTTGTCCTCTCCTTCCCTTCGTGGAGCCACAGAAAAAGGGATTTTGGGGCAACTAGAATTGGCAAGACCAGTAGCAAACCAGTGCCTTCTTGTAAGCTGGAGTGGATTTTAGCCTGGCCCATCAAGCAGAAGTTGGCTTGTTCCCTTCATGGAAGGTAGGATTAAGTTTTCAGAGTTTTCTGTTTGTTTTCTCTTTTTTGTGCTGTTACTGCTTAAGGTGTCTGTAGCATTTTAAAGCCTGACTGAAAATTGGATCAGATACTTCTTAGGCTGTTTTGGGTTTATGGATTATATCTGAGTAAGGTATAAATAATAGTCTGGTAAGGACAAATAACCCTGACAGTTGCTGAAAAGAATAGCTGATACTGAACTGTAAGAGAGTGTAAGGGAACTCTTTAAGTACAGAGAAAATTATCTCAGGGTCAAAAAATGGGTAAAAGAGAAGTAGATTGGGAAGGGCGTTAAAGTAAGATTTTTTAACAGAATTATTTATATGACTTTCTAAGATGGTTAGGACTTGAGAATGGGTAATGGAGAATGACTAATACATTAAAAATTGAATATGGACTTTGGAAAGCTGTGTCAGCAATAAAAGTTGAAGTTGCATAAACACAAGAGGAACCTGTAGAACTTAGAAAATACAGGCAGGAAATTGCATTTGGATTGGAAAGTGGCACTAACATAAATTGGTAATCGGCAGAGACGGAGACTTGGAGAACAGAAGGATGATGAAGGGGTTAAATTTTTCCTCTTATGCCTCCTCCTCTATAAATCTCATTTGACAGGATGATGCATTAAATGCTGAAGTGTACAGATAGAGTGATATGTAAATGAGCTTAGGGAATGTGTTTGCTACAGCAGAAAAGGTAAACTTTTAAACAGGTTACACTCAGACCTTCATAAACTGGAGAGTAGTCTGCCAAAATGAAAAAATAACAAATGGCTCTGTGACTGGAGGTGTTTGAAAACAGATGATGGAAGATTTGGTCAAGAGTGAAATAGGGGTAAGTGTCAGACTGGTGACACTTACAAGTGAATATGTCCTTAGAAATCTTGGCTTTGCAGATGTCTACAACAAAGAATGGCTATGGAGAGCTGCATTTGACAAATGGCTTAAATAGGTGACTCAGCAGTTTAGATGTTACAATAAATCTAACAGTCTTGGTGTGTTGTTTTTAGTAAAGGAGTTAATAGCTGTTGCATGCCTTACTTTCCGATTATTGCAGGTGCCTTTGCTTGCAAGATGGTTCCGTTTGTCCAGTCCACTGCTATTGTAACTGAGATTCTTACCATGACCTGCATTGCTGTGGAAAGACACCAGGGAATTGTGCATCCACTAAAAATGAAGTGGCAGTACACCAATAAAAGAGCTTTCACCATGCTTGGTAAGATTTTAGGCATCTCCAGTAATTGTGTGTAAGAAATGATCTTCAGTGTGGATCCACAGATGGCAGTGATATGACCAGTGATGCAGAGGCAGAGTTAATTGACCTGTATAAAATAGCTCAGGGATAGTGCCTACAAGTAAAGTATTCACTAGCCAAAGCTCTCACAAGGGACTAAGCATGTCAAGTCCAAAATGTACTTAACAAAGATGAACCTTTAGCCGCCTTTTTTTTTTTTAAGAAAAGTTCAAAATGTGCAAGCACTGATTAAAAAGTGTCACAGGGAAATGACCCTTCCATTGTTACACAAAGAGGTTTATTTAATGCTCCTTGTGCAGATTAAGTGCTTTTCCCTGTGGAATATCAATACATAGAGGTGGTTTGAGAGACAGACAGCTGATGTCAAGAGAGCATGCTGTTATTGATGTGTTGACTGATGAATGCCTCATAGAAAACTTTATTATTTGCTACAGTTTTCTACCTTGCCTGGCTTTTCAAAGCTGTTGAACTGTTCATAGCAAATCCTGCTTGTTGGACAAAGTATGAAAAAATGTCTTTGTTTACAGGCATAGTGTGGGTGTTGGCTCTCATTGTCGGGTCGCCCATGTGGTACGTGCAGCGCCTTGAGGTAAGTTAGGTCAGATGGGGGTTTGCTCATTGAACTCAGTCCTTGCTGCATCTTCCTCTACCTTTAGGTGAAATTGAATCAACTCCTGGGAAATTAGAGGGGGACAAGGGAGGGAGGTGGAGCCTTGGTTCTGTATGCCAGCCTGGGAAAGACTGAGGATTAGAGCTTGCATGTACTAGTATGGGACTAGTCATGGCTGCTCTCCCTAATTACATCAAAGAGGAGTTAATTACATCTGTGACTTCCACTGTGGATTTCTTTTGCACTGGCACACAGGAATAGAGGGCTTAGATTGTTGTTTCAGGATGGCACAATGCTCCCCAACATCTGGAAGAGCTGTGCTTAGTTTAGAATTAATTAGCTGCTCATTATAGTTGATGAGTTACCACACACGTTTGGAGGTTAGGCAGAAGACTTAGCAGAATCTGCTGCTTGTGAATCTGAATGTTGATAATTTTCTTGTTTTCTCAAGTGGCTAATGTGACGTTTCCATACATCCATCTTTACTTGCAAAATGTGTGGCCAAGGTCTCCTTTGAAGTACAAATCAGAGCATCTCCCCGCCTCTTTTTGTCAATTTGGATTGAACCAAGTATTTGATTGGACAAGTGCTTGAAGACTTTTGTCACTCTGAAAAATCTGTTAAATTTTGGTTGTTCCATTAAGAGCAAGGAATATCTGAATGTGCTTGGGTTTTACACTTGGGATAAAACACCTTATTGACTCATCTTCTTTGCATTTGTTACAGGTTAAATATGACTTTCTATATGAAAAAGTGCATGTTTGTTGCTTGGAAGAATGGGCCAGTCCCATTTATCAGAAGATCTATACGACCTTTATTCTTGTTATACTCTTCCTTCTGCCTCTGATGCTGATGCTCTTTCTGTACACTAAAATTGGCTATGAACTCTGGATTAAGAAACGAGTGGGAGATGCTTCAGTTCTTCAAACCATTCATGGGAGTGAAATGTCTAAAATATCAAGGTTTGTAAGCAAAATGCACTTGGAACTTTGACTTCTAGAAAGCTTTATTCCTGACTTTTTTATTATTCCTTCTGAATAGAGTTGAAAATGCCTTGCAAGACATGCTACTGTCTTGCTGCAAAGTGCTCTGCTGTCCCAAAAAAGAGAAGTCAAGTGCTAGATTTATACTATGATGCATTTTTTCTTTCCAAGGGGATTGTGTACTTCTGAGCTTTCCTTGAGGGTTTTATTTGAATCTACAGTCATCAGAACACAGTCTGATGTAACTTGAAGAGAGATGTGTAACTGCCAGCCAGTTCCCAGTGATTCAGTGTGGAATTCTTGGTGCAATTTCAGGAAGAAGAAGCGAGCAATTGTTATGATGGTGACAGTGGTGTTTCTCTTTGCAGTCTGTTGGGCCCCTTTCCATGTGATTCACATGATGATGGAGTACAGTGAGTACCTGCCATATCTCATAGAATGAAGTCTGGAGTTTTGGGGTTTTTATTAGTTGATGGGACTGCAGGTTGTGAAAAGCTAATGATGCTACAGCATTCAGCTCTGAAATACCTTCAGATAGCAAAGGTTGATGCTCTGCTTTAAGGAAAACCAGGAGTGTTAGAGGGGTGAGCCTGTCTGTGTAGATTCTTTTTCTTACCATGTCTGTTATGTTGCCCTCATTTGCTGAAAGGCCGAAAGGGCTTGGCTGGAAGGTAAAAGTTATTTCTGAGCATAAAACATCTTGAAGTTTTTAATTATATTTAATTTACTTAACTGTTTTGAGTTACATTTACAATGAAATATTTATCCCTTTTATTTTGGTAGGCATATTGGAAATATAAATACTGGACATCACAGTGATGATATCCAATGAATCCAGCTGGAGCTTTTCAGTGCTCTTTGCTGAAAACTGGCTTGGAAAGGCCCTCAATGCTTTTGTGTTGGCTTTTTTGCTATTTGCCTTATTCTCTGGGGTCTTGCACTGTTCATCTCCCACCTCCTCCATGGATACTGGAGCAGCCTATGAGCAGGAACAAGAGGAATTTTTCAGTAGTTGTACTCTACTTGCTAAAGGCAAGTAGAGTTCCTTTGTCTTCTGTCATGAAAAAGATTGTAGCAGATAAATCAATAGTTCAGCCAGTCAGCTTTTTTGGCTCATAAATTTTCTTCCTTTTGATTCTGTTACTGTCTACATACAAAGCAGGACTGTGTGATAGATCTTGATTTTATCTTGTTGAGAAAACTCAATTGCTAATGTTAAGAGCTTCCAGCATGGGTTTTTGTTGATTTTAAACAAAAACATCTAATGCCAAACTGGATATAAACAGACTAAGTAGTAAGCATTTATGACCTTCTGTACTTAGAACATATTTCTCTTCTTCTCTGCAGGTAATTTTGAGAAGGAGTATGATGATGTGACAATCAAAATGATTTTTGCAATTGTCCAGATAATAGGATTCTTCAATTCTATTTGTAACCCTATTGTGTATGCTTTCATGAACGAGAACTTCAAGAAAAATTTTCTGTCTGCCCTCTGCTTCTGCGTTATGAAAGACAGCACATCCCCAAGCAGGCAGCTTGGGAACTCAGGAATGACCATGAGGAGGAAAAAGCCAAGTGCGTCTCAGAAAGATCCCACGGATTCGGACGAAGGCAGGAGGGAGGCATTCAGTGATGGCAACATCGAGGTCAAGTTCTGTGATCAGCCAGCTTCCAAAAGGAATTTGAAAAGGCACCTGGTCCTGTTCAGCTCTGAGCTTACTGTGCACTCTGCAGTAGGAAATGGACAGTAGCATCACAAGGGGGTTGGGAATGGAGATGATGTTCTCTTTATGTTCATCTCAATAAGCCATTTAAAAGAGTTTGCTGCTTTGCATGCTGAAATGAGGGGGGAAGATGATGTGTGGACTCTAATCATGTTGGGATACTGACTGAGAAAATGTAATATTTATTTTGTAATTATGAGGAGTAAGACTTTGGAAATGGACATTACTGTGTGATTTCCAGGAGAAAAAAATTGCTTCCTGACCTAATTTAGGGCTTGTTTGCCCTCTGCTTTAGATAAACCAAACAACTGCTGCTTGCTCCATTTGTTGTGTGTCTGGACTGTGCCCAGCTGAATGCATGGAGACCGGAACTATGGAGAGCGTGTGCACCTTTTTGGGACAGCTGACGTGGGGATGGCATTGTAAGATCTACTTTCTGCATCTTTGAGGACAGAGCAGCTTCAGAGCTGAGTTCAGGAAAGATGGAGACTGAAATGCAATTCCATTTTAGAAAAAAAAAAAAGGAATATGAAAGAGTTATCCAGAACATGACTCTGAAGAGGTTTAAGGTTTAAACATTACATGCATGTTCAGATTTGTTAACAGGAAGCATATTAGTCAATGCATGCATAATTACTTTGCTGTTTACAGGTTCATTCCTGGGTACAACTTTCAATGCCATTTTGCTGCCCTGCAAACTGCATTGTTCTGCTGGAAAATGGAGAGGCTGGAAAAGTGCTGTAAAAGAGAGTGCAGATGCTGGAGGTGTGGTCTGTAGAGTAAGACTGCACTGAACTTCCAGTCATGCTTGGGCATGTGACTCTAAGGTTGAAAGGGTGTTGTGGCCATTTTCTGGAGGGTTACAGGGGCCTGATCCAGCGCCTGTTGGGACTTCATGGAAGACTTTCAATGGAATACCATGATCTTTTGACCAGACACTTCTCTGAGGACATGCTTGTATTTTTGTCTGTCCATCATCTTCAAAGGGGTTAATTGCTGTCTGACAGCTGGGCCAGTGCTTTGTTATTTTAGGCTTCATAGTAAATGAGGTTGATATTCTTATAAATTCTAAATGTTTTTGCTCTCAGTGGGCCAAACTGCGAAATTGCCAAGGTATGTTTGCAAGTGTGGGGCTGGGGGGAGGGAAGTGTGGTCTGAACTGGCACACTGGGATCTGGTACACTGAGATTCCATAAATGAGGCCTTGAAATTCCGAATTTCCCACTCCAGCTGAGATTAGGTTGGATCCTTTAGCAGCCTGTGAAATGTCAGTGCTCTCTTCTGTCACCCCTTGCCTCACCTATGGGACATTGGTGCTGCCTTGGCAGTCAATTTAAGATGCTTTTACATTGCTGTTTTACACTTCATTGTAAATGAAAACCTAGAGTAAAATATCCTTGTATAATTTGGATGTCATCTCATCCTTCTGTAGTGTCTACAGATTGCAATGGGTTTGTGACACCCTTTGTTCACATATGTATTTTTTATATTCTATTTGATACACTCCTGTGCAATGACTGAAACCTCCTGACTTGTCCTGAGGGCCAGGAATTAAGAGTTTATTGGGTTATCATCGTAGTTTTCCTCAGCAGATGTAAAGTTCAACTGTCTGATGGTGAGAACTATGTGTTTGGATAGAATCTGTGACTGAAAACTCATTTATTTTAAGCTATTTATTTATTTTCACTGCTAATTTCAGTGGCAGATTTTAACAAGCATTTAACCAGAACTTCCAAGTATCTTATGTTTTTGTTTTGTCTTCCCTGCTTCTGTTGTCTCATAAAACGTTGTGTCAATGAATAACTGCTGTAGTATTAATTTTATTTTCATTAAAGTTCCTTTATGGCTTTGTTGGTGCCGTTTTGCACTAGGGATATCTGCTGTAAACTTCACTTTGAGTCTCTCTTTGTTTGAAGATTGATGTGAGCTTATCCTTGCCTCTTTAGTGATTAAATTCCAGTCCTGTTACAGGTGCCAGCTGCTCCTGTGATCCTCAGAGCTGTGATTTAAAGGACTTTACAGAATAAGGTGAGAAAGAAAAAGAATAGTCCAATGCCTTGGTAGAAGAGAAGTGATAAATATTTCAGCATAGATGTATGGGGCTATGGTTAGATTAAATATAAACTAACATATAAAAGACTGTTCTCATACTGTTCTTAATGGTAATTATATTATTTGTGCATTTTTGACAAAGTAGTTGTCTTGAAGCCAGGTAATCTTGTCCTGGCTGCAGGGAATAAATGATAACAAAAGATCCATTATTGGCATAAGCACCACCAGGATTTTGCCCATTGTTTTTTGAATCTGTCAGAGCTTCAGCTTTGATTGAGCCAACCAAACCAGCTGTGCTGTTGAAGAGTTTCAGTTTCAGCCTGGTTAGCCTATCCCTGTCAGTGCTTGTACCCTGTGTGTAGCTGTAACTGAGTGCTTCAAACCAGGCAAAGCCCTGCTGTCCCTCAGCCTGCCTGGGCTTATTTCCATCTTCCAGTAACTGCATGGTTCATCTGAGCACAAAAATATTCCCGGCTAGTGAATTTATCAGAGAACAGAAAAAATAACCACTCTCATTTCCCTAAACTTAGCATATTTATTGAAGTGGTTGCGTTCTTTGAGAGAAAATGTTTTGTCATGTTTTTTATTATCTTAGTTATGAATTACTTATAATTTCTTTGATAAAATTAAAGAGAAACTTCTTTTATTCTCAGCTGCAAGGGGCTAAGCCTTTAAGTTGCAGTGAGATGATGCCAGGGACTGACAGGCTGATGAAGACAGGAGCCTGAAAGGACACATTCAACTGAACAGACACTCTGGAAATTGAATGGATGAGGAAAAAGTGTCAGATGTGTCAGCTTGTTCAACTGATACCAGAGTATTAACAAGGAAAACAGTGGGCAGAAGGGAGTGAACCCTCTCAGTAATTGCTGAGTAGCAATTGAAAAAATACCCACTGTCAGCCTGTTCCAAGGAATAACCAATTGCCAATGACTGCCAAAGCAGCAGAGATACGTGATGTGCCTGCATCCAGGGAGTAAGTACAGAAATTCTCAGCCTGGAGATGGGTTAGCCCTGTCTTTGTGCTGATGGCAGGATTAGCTCATGAGCAGTGCTTGCTTGTGCTGCTGGCAGAGGCCATTGAAACAAGTGATCCAGCAGAGGGAAAGGGACACCTGAGAAATCAGAGAAATATATTGCAGAGGAGACCTAGATTATTATTGCTAAGGAAAAAAAATAATAATAAGGAATAAGAAGAGGAAAGGATTTAGTAGAGCTGTTGACTTGGAGAGATGGGAGAGGAAGATAATCATGGCAAGCTATATTTTTATATTTTATATATCAATGTTTTTATATCTATTAGAGTTGATCTGAGTGTTAGAAAAGTTGGGAGAGTTTAGGCATTGTATTCAGAGAGCAGCTCGGTGAACAGAACAGCATCTCATTGCACAGGGCAAAAGGCTGGGAGGAGTGGAACCTGCCCTCTTGGTGCCTTTCCAGGTGGGAGCAGTGGAAGGGACCAGGAGCTTCACCAGCCTGAGGAGGAGACAGGTAAATGTGCATTTAATACACACTGAAGGGGTTAGATTTTGTATATCCCTTCAGAAATACTGACATGAGTCTCTGTGTTTCTGTCTGTACTCCAAGTCCTGCTTCACCCCTCAGATCTGGCTTCCAGGAGTACTGCTGCATGTTCAAGCCATCATGAGCTTCCTCTGTTGACACTCCAGTGAAGCTGATGAATTGTGAAGTTATTTTAAATGCTCTGGTGTGGTTTGAGATGAAGGCTCACATGCTGGTTTATTATCAGGGTGAAATCTCCCCCCAGCTCCTCATGCACATCAGTACAACAAAACCTGCTCAGTCAAAAGCAGTAAAACCTGGTTCCTTTCATTCCAAAAAATACAGACTCACAGCCCTACAAGTTAGGCTCGCACAATGTTTGTTTTGCTACAAAAGTGCTGTCCTCCAAGGCAGGGTTATTTTTGAGAAGGTTTAAGGGTGTTTGTATATACTTTGTGCATTCCTGAAAGAAGAGATCTTGTAGAGACACAAACAAACTTCTACAAATTGCATCTCTGCCCTGTAGGGTGCTTAAAACACCAACCAAGACTTGAAAAGATGTTGCCTGAAAAAGGTTGAATTTTGTTTCTCAACCTCCTCTGGAGGAATACAAAGCTTTCTATGAAAGGCTCTTATTTCCTTGCATTTTCCTTTTTTTTTTTTCCCCACAAAGCAGAAGCTTCTGCTTATTCTTTGGTGAAATAATCATAAAGCCTTTTCCCCAAACATATTGTGGAATATATTCAGTTTATGATAGGGACACTGTCCCAAAATTATATGTGCTTGCATTGAAAAGCTTTTTTCCATTAGCACTTCTTAGATGAAAATGTCTTTATTTTTTTAACCTTCTGTTGAAATCTCTTGCCAGCATTCTAACTTTTATTTCCTCTTTCCAATGCCATCACTAATTTTTTCTAAGTTTATTTCACCAGGGTTTCTCAGGACTCACTCTCCTCCGGTGAATTTACTGTTCCCTTGAACATGGTCCTTTTTTTCTCTATCCCTAATCTTTTCCATGCTTTATTAAATTGTATGGTCTTACACCATCTTTCCCCATGCTCCTGGGCAAAGCCTCAATTAATTGATTTAAAATTTATGGCACAGTCTCCATAAATCTCTTGTTGCATCTTGGAAATTATAAGAAAGCTTTCAGGCTTTTTCAGCGCTCTGGGATCTGATTTGTAAATCCATTTCATTTTCCCATCTGAAATAGGCATCTTTGCTATTTGCATTTATGCCACCTTGATAAATATTCTAATGTATGGACATGGAACTGCTGCAGGATCAGGGATAGTTCTCCTGTGGTATCACAGGTGCAATATTTTAATTTCATTTTCTGCCTCAACAGTTTGCTCAAGCAAAAATTAGTCAGGGTTGAACTGTTGACAAATAAATTCTTCACTGAGTTAATAAAGCAGAAGTGCATTTACTTACAGATCCATCACACTGGAGGGAAAAGGATTTCAAGTCTTTTAGAAAAAAACCCATCCTAAGTCATCTTTCTACTTGTAAAGGGAAAAGCATGCTTGGGATTTTTAAGCCATTTTCTCCCTGATTACTTTTTAAGGTGTCTTTCCCTATTGTCCAGACTCTGCTGTGTAGGATGAAGAACCTGCTGACTGGAGTGTGTGGGAAGAGGC